CCAGCGCAGGAAGAGGGATGGGGTGGGTGGTGACTCAGATGCTGAGCGCCCAGGGGCCACCTGGTGCCCCTCAGGAGGGACCTGTGCCCCCTGGAGACACCTGGGTCCCCAGGGTGGTAGATGCAGTGGGCAGGTGGGGGTGGGCACCCGGGCAGCTGCCCAGCTCGTGAACGCTCACGACGGCAAGCCCAGCCCTGTGGCTCTCCCTGACCCCAACCTCAAGTGCTGGACCTCAAAACTATCATTGAAACAGCCCAATTTGGGCTTCCCTGGTGGCGCAGTGGTTGAGAGTCCGCCTGCCGATGCAGGGGACACGGGTTCATGCCCCGGTTTGGGAAGATCCCACGTGCCGCGGAGCGGCTGGGCCCGTGAGCCATGGCCGCTGAGCCTTGCGCGTCCGGAGCCTGTGCTCCGCAATGGGAGAGGCCCGCGTACCGCAAAAAAAAAAAACCTGCCCGATTCTTCCCTTTAGAGAAAATAGCGTCTGCCGAGCTCCCTAATGCTCACCTGAGTGTGCCGCTCGGCCGGGGCCCCACAGCGCTTGTTGGGAACCCGAGTCTGACCCACAAAGCAGAAGAGGCTGAGAAAATTCTGAACAAGACAACAAAGGAAGACAGGTATCAAGACGCCGTAAAGACAGTGCTTTTCAAAAGTGTGGTACCAGCTGGGAAGAGAGGGCAGTAGATTCCTTCATCAGATCGGAGTCCAGAGATGATACGGCTCAGGATGGGCACCTGCGCCCTGAGCTGAGGGAGGATGACATCGCCGCGGTGGGGGTGGGGGGCACCTGGCCGCTGTGTCGGGATTGGGGGCAGCTTAGATCCATCCTCCTCGAGGGAGACACAAAACCCAGAACAGAGACTGGCACGCTTCACCACATAAAATGAAAAGCTTCTGTTCAACAAGACACCGTAAACAAAATTAAGAGACTAAAAACAGACTGGGGGGAAAAACAGGCTGAGAAAAATATTTGCAATACATCGCAGGCAATACCCAACAGTCACTATGTAATAACCATAATACAAAGAGCTCCTAAAAGATAGAGAAAACAAACAATCCAGTCAAAGAAGGGATTCACAGGCAACGCTTAGAAAAAATGAAAAGTATTAGTAAGAATGAAGGGAAGCTCGACTTCCCTAGAAAGTCATGTAAAATAAAGCAATGATGACGTCAATATTTACTTATCCGATTGGAAGAAACAAAAAACGTTGGTGATGTTCGGTCTGGGCACAATTATGCGGAAATGGATGCTTTCATACACTGTTGGTGAAGGATGAATAAACAGGATCTTTCTGGAGAGTGATTTGGAGATGTTAGTATGTTAAATCTTAACATTAAATGTTAAATATTAATGTATAAACCTCTGATACAGTGTTCCCACTTCTGGAAACTTAGCCCAGAGAAGTACTCATGGATATTCAAGAAGAGCTATGGACAAGAGTAACAGCAAAAATAAGGGGAATAAAGTAGGAATTTCCATGAATAGAAGAGTGATGAAAACTAAATTGTGTGTGTCCAATAGTATGGAATACCGGGCATCTTCAAGATAGACTGGGATGAATGTGTTGTTAGAAAGATGTCCGCGAGACAGTTGTTAAAAACAGGTTTCTTGACCGTGTGGGTGGGGTAAGTCTACTTTTATTTTTTAAAAATCTAGAATGTATATCAGAAAAACAACCCAATCCAAAAATGGGCAGAAGACCTAAATAGACATTTCTCCAAAGAAGATATACAGATTGCTAACAAACACATGAAAGGATGCTCAACATCATTAATCATTAGAGAAATGCAAATCAAAACTACAATGAGATATCATCTCACACCAGTCAGAATGGCCATCATCAAAAAATCTACAAACAATAAATGCTGGAGAGGGTGTGGAGAAAAGGAACCCTCTTGCACTGTTGGTGGGAATGTAAACTGATACAGCCACTATGGAGAACAGTATGGAGGTTCCTTAAAAAACTAAAAATAGAACTACTGTACGACCCAGCAATCCCACTACTGGGCATATACCCTGAGAAAACCATAATTCAAAAAGAGTCATGTACCAAAATGTTCATTGCAGCTCTATTTACAATAGCCAGGACGTGGAAGCAACCTAAGTGTCCATCAACAGATGAACGGTTAAAGAAGTGGCACATATATACAATGGAATATTACTCAGCCATAAAAAGGAATGAAACTGAGTTATTTGTAGTGAGGTGGATGGACCTAGAGACTGTCATACAGAGTGAAGTAAGTCAGGAAGAGAAAAACAAATACTGTATGCTAACACATATATATGGAATCTAAAAAAAAAAAAAAAAAGAAAATGGTCAGAAGAACCTAGGAGCAAGATGGGAATAAAGATGCAGACCTACTAGAGAATGGACTTGAGGATACGGGGAGGGGGAAGGGTAAGCTGGGACAAAGTGAGAGAGTGGCATGGACATATATACACTACCAGACGTAAAATAGATAGTGGGAAGCAGCCGCATAGCACAGGGAGATCAGCTTGGTGCTTTGTGACTACCTAGAGGGGTGGGATAGGGAGGGAGATGCAAGAGGGAAGAGATATGGGGACATGTGTATATGTATAGCTGATTCACTTTGTTATAAAACAGAAACTGACACACCACTGTAAAGCAATTATACTCTAATAAAGATGTTAAAAAAATATTTAAAAAAACAAAGATAATAATAGTACCTACATCATAAGATTGTTGTAAACATTGAATAAAATATGTAAAGTACTCAGAAAAAAAAATCTATTTATGTATACATGCATATGTCCCAGTTCACTAATTCCAGGTTGCGTACCCTCTTCACGTTTTCACAGGATATGTCATCACTAGCTTTTTTTTTTTTTTTTTTTTGCAGTACGCGGGCCTCTCACTGTTGTGGCCTCTCCCGTGGCGGAGCACAGGCTCCGGACGCGCAGGCTCAGCGGCCATGGCTCGCGGGCGCAGCCGCTCCGCGGCATGTGGGATCTTCCCGGACCGGGGCACGAACCCGTGTCCCCTGCATCGGCAGGCGGACTCCCAACCACTGCGCCACCAGGGCAGCCCCGTCACTAGCATTTTTGATTCTATAATATATGGCACCATATTTGTATAAGCACAGAAAAATGTCTGGAACAGTCTGGAACAGTCCTCAAAACTGTGCACCACGGGGGTGGCGGGCAGGATTAGGGAGGTTGGGGAGGGCACTTTTACTGTCTTAAACACGTCTGTGAGTTTAAATTTGTACTGTGAGCACATGTCATTTTTGCCATGTATGAAAACAACACGTCAACAACAGAGGTACCAGGTACAGACTTGGCCATGGTCAGCCCCACCAGATGTCATCCTGAGCCGCTGGATGGCCGGTTTCACTTTTCAACCCTGGACAGCCTTTATTCTTAAGGGGGTGGCAATTCTCCTTTCGTGGTTTTTTCATCTTCCCCAGAATCCGAGCTGTCACCCCCGACAGCAGGAAGAGCACAGCTGGAGCTCTGTGGAGTGGAATCTGGAGCAGGTGCTGGCAGCCTGCTGCGTCCGTGGCCTGTGCAGTTAGGACTTCTGTCCTGGACTCTGAGTAACAGGAGGTTGGAGAGGGAAGCGACCTTAGAGGGCACTGGATTCAGCTTTCTCATCTCATGATTTCATCCCTGAGGAAACAAAGGTTCAGAGACGTGAAGCGATGCTCCCAGTCCTGGCCCTGCCCTGGAGACTAGGCTTCGGGGTCCCAGCCATCGCTCTCTCCCATGGGGTTCTGCTGAATGTGTGAGCCAAGAACTAAGATCCCCTTGACCCAGTATTTGTGTAGCTCTGAATTCTGTAGGACTCTTTGACGCAAGTCCCAGAAAACATGCACAACTGTGGGGACACTTGCAGGGGTGTTGAACAAGAAGTCCAGATGTAGTTCTCAGGGTTGTTCGTGCTGTTCAAAGATGTGATCAGGGACACAAGCCCTTTCCTCCATCACCTTCCGTGTGTTGGTTTTCACATCAGGTTTGTCACCTCATGGTTGCAAGGTGGCTGCCATAGCTGTAGTTACATGTTTTCACAAAACAGTGGCCAAAGCAGGAGGGGAGGGAGGAGGTCGGAACCTCACTGCCTAGTCCCCCTTCCTTCCTGTTGGCCAGGGTTAGTCACGCGCCCATCCCTTAGATCAATCACTGGCAAAGGGGAAAGGGGTCATTTGATTGGCTTAGACCACTCCTGATTCATCCTCTGGTGCGTGCATGTCATTGCCACCTGGGGCTCTGTTAGCAGCCCAGAGAGGGGGCAAGGAGCAGTACTGCCATCTGCTTCTAACCCTTGGTAGTGAGAGAGAAAATCCCCTATAATAACTTCGCCCAGCCGGGACATCCACTGTGAGTGCTTTTGGAGAATTCGTTACCCCTGTTGGTACATAGGCAGGTGATACTGGTCATGCCTGATGGAGGCTGAGGGGCTGTGTTGTTATTATGGCTACACTGAAATAGAGTTCTCGTGCCATCTGATCCGTTCATTCATTCATTCGTTCATGTATTTAAACGGTGACTTTTTAAAATTAATTAATCTATTATTTTTGGCTGCGTTGGGTCTTTGTTGCTGCACGTGGGCTTTCTCTAGTTGCGGCGAGCAACTACTCTTCGTTGCGGTGCACGGGCTTCTCATTGCGGTGCACAGGCTTCAGTAGTTGTGGCTCGTGGGCTCTGGAGTGCAGGCTCAGTAGTTGCAGCTCACGGGCTCTAGAGCACAGGCTCAGTAGTTGTGGCGCACGGGCTCTAGAGCGCAGGCTCAGTAGTTGTGGCGCACGGGCTTAGCTGCTCTGCGGCATGTGGGATCTTCCCGGACCGCGGCACGAACCCGTGTCCCCTGCATCGGCAGGCGGACTCTCAACCACTGCGCCACCAGGGAAGCCCCCTGACACTCTTAACTATCTCGTCAGGTGACTGCAAGCAAAGCACGTGGGGTGGGGGCCAGGCACGCCCAGGTGTGCTCTGGAATGATGACGGTGTAGGCGAGGACCCCGGAGCATCATGGAGCAGGGTGCGGGGACCCAGGGCAGCGATGGGGGTGGATGCTGGGAGCAGGCAGTGAGGCGGGACCACCAGCCGCGACTTTGGGGTGGAGAGAAGCGAAGCTCTGGAGGCAGAATCGGCAGCACCGCATACGGATGTGTCTGTGGGGAAGGGCGGGGGAGGTTGTCAGCACCCGCCCTCCCGGGGTGGGCGAGGCTGCGAGGGGTGGTAAGGTCAGTCACTGAGGCCCGGGGCGGGGGCGGGGTGGGGCACGGGCCTGGGCAGAGCCGAAATTGGAACAGCTGGGCTTGGGCCCGGGCTCTCCTGGGGAGACCGACAGGCGGCAGGGGGCGCAGGCCGGGCTCTCCGGAGGCGCCGGGGCTGCAGGGGAAGGGTCTGGGGATTCAGTTAAGGGCCCCGTGTGAGGCCTTGGGGCCTGAGCTCAACCGGGGTGAACAGAGGGCCGAGGCGGCGCTGGGGGCGAGGATGGGGAGCCCGGCCCGGCCGGGCCGCGCCTCCCCGTCGTTCTCGGGCGAGCCCTGCCGTCCAGCGGTGTCCGTGGTGTGCGTTGGGGGAACCCCGAAGCCTGCAGGTCGTCGCCTCGCCCGGCGGCGGCGGCGCGGGGGTCCTCTCGCGGCACGTCCGGCCCTGACCCCCAGCGCGGGTTCCCGGTAAGGTGCGAGCGCTCGGACCGCCCCGCCGGGTGGGGCGCACGGAGCGCGGGGCCGGCGGCGGGGCGGAGGGGGCGGGCTTGGCCGAGGCACCACCCCCGCCCCCGCGCCGCCTTCGTCCCGCCCGCCGGCCGGCAGAGCTCGAGACCCCGGCTCAGACGCGCGGTCCGGGCGCTCGTGGCAGCGCGGCTGGGCCGGGTGGCGATGCCGCTGGAGCTGACACAGGCCGCGCTGTACGTGGTGCTGGAGCTGGCGCTGGCCGCGCTGGCGGTGGCCGGCAATGTGCTGGTGTGCGCGGCGGTGGGCGCCTCGAGCGCGCTGCAGACGCCCACCAACTACTTCCTGGTGTCCCTGGCGGCGGCCGACGTGGCCGTGGGGCTCTTCGCCATCCCCTTCGCCGTCACTATCAGCCTGGGCTTCTGCACCGACTTCCACAGCTGCCTCTTCCTCGCCTGCTTCGTGCTGGTGGTCACGCAGAGCTCCATCTTCAGCCTCCTGGCCGTGGCCGTCGACAGGTACCTGGCCGTGCGCGTCCCGCTCAGGTGAGGCCCCGGCCCCGCGGAGCTCCGTCCGCCCCGGCCCCCGGGACCCCAGACCCTCCCGGCCGGGGCGCGGGGCGCGCGAGTTCCGGCCCGCAGCCTCCGGACACACGTGCGCCGGGCTCGACCCTCTCGGTGCCCCGGGCGCGCGCCTCCTTCAGGGGATCCGAGTAGGGACAGCCCTGGGGCCCCGGGGGTGCGGCCCGGCGGGGCAGCTCCGGGGAAAGCGCCCCGAGCGGGCGGGAAGGGGCCCGGCGAGCGCTGGGCGGTAGGGCCGGGGAGAGAGGCTCCAGGGCAACCTTGGACGCTGGGATATGCGTGGGCAAAATGACGCGACTCGCCGCCCGACTTCAGGCTGTACCTGCCGACCCGGGTGGAGGTGCCAGTTAACTTTGGGGAACGCTGCGCGCTTCGTGCGGACTCTCATCACCTTCTTATACTTCAGAGAGAGTTAAAGTGCTTCCCGGCTCGCCGAGACCGACAGCCTGAGAGCCTCGTGCGTTGTATAGCCTTGTTTATCTGCTGCCCAGTCCCAGCGGCTGGGAAAGTGCCACCAGGGTTTCCAAACGCTGGAGGACTTGCGGGTCACTGTTTCTCCCACAGTCCGAAGATGTAGGAGCCAGCCGGCAAGGGGAGCGGAGTCCCAGGTGTAGCTGGGAGCTGGAGAGCCCGAGCATCACAAGCATCACGTGGGGCTTAATTGAAAGTATTTACTTTCTCCCTCCCTCTCTCCCTCCCTCCCTCCCTCCCTCTCTCCTTCCTCCCTCCCTCTCTCCCCCTCTCCCTCCCTCCCTCTCTCCCCCTCTCCCTTCCTCCCTCTCCCTCCTCCCTCCCTTCCTCTCTCTCCTCCCTCCCTCCCTCCCTCCATCCCTCCCTCCCTCCTCCCTCCCTCCCTCTCCTTCTCCCTCTTCCTCTCTCGCTCTCTCGCTCTCTCCTGCGCGCGCCTGGATGCCCTTTGGCGTTTCTGAGTTGGGTGAGCTTGGGATCTCTTTGGGTCTAGAACTGAGACAGGGAAATTGAGTAGGAGGGAAAGGAAGGAATTAATCTCTTGAGTGCCAACTCTGTTGGGCGCTTTAAACTTACATCCTTTAATCCTGCCAGTAATTCCAGAGGTAGGTACCTGCATCCTGTAGGCAAGGGGAGGACATGCAGGATGGTGCCTCTGAATCAGTGTAGCAGCAGGACTGGGTCTCAGCGCTGGCCCCATGTTCCCGCTGTGTGTGGCATCAGTGTTTGGCATGTGGGCGGAGAGCAGACGGCCGTTTCTGGAAGTGGATTCTGCTTGCAGTGAATTGGTGGCTGTACGGGAAAAGTGTTTGAGGGAATTGACGGGGGTGGGGGGCATGCTCCCAGAAGCCTTTGTAGCAGGCTGGCGTGGCACACCTGCTCCCTGTGCTTTGTGTCCTGGGTCCCAGCGAGGGCAGGAGCCTCCTGCTTGGCCAGGCTGTGAGCCTCCTCTGTGTGTCTGGGCCTTTCCACGTGCTGCTGCCCTTGGCCTGTGACCAGGAGGCCCCATGTGTCCCATCAGGTGTGACAGAGCCCAGGGGTTTCCGAGGACCGGGGCGCACGGCATGAGCTTCTTTTCTCTTAGGGCTCCCTTTCCTGCCTCTTGGTCCTTGTGTTGGTTACTTGGTAGCCTTTTGGACTGTTTGCACCCAGCAGGCAGCCACAAGCCCCAGCCTTATCTCACAGAAGCCCCTTGGGTTTGGCCCTGGCAGAGGTCCAGAGAGACCTCAGCTCAGTGCGAGTTGAAGAATCCCCCGTGCCCCACGGAGCAGGAAGTTCCATGAAAGTTTAAATCTGTTACTTCTTGTCCCGGTCTCTGCTGGGCGGGGTCTTGAAGGAATGGGTGTGGGTGTGTGAAGGCGAAAGAAATGTGAATCACAGGTCCCTAACTTCTCCTTTGCGTTTGCTGAAGCCAGGAGGGCGGGATGTAGGCTGGGGAGGGCAGAGCACCCCGGAGTGAGTGCCGGTCCCACCCCTGCCCTCCAGGCCTGCCCGCAGCAGGTCAGAGGTCTGCAGGAGGTGTGTGTGACCTGTCCCGGGAAGGAATGGCATGTGTCCTGGCCCCTGGCGCCCAGCCCATCGTCACGGGCTGGAGAGGTCCTCACGGCTCCTGTTTCAGCACTTCCTGGCCTGCTGAGCTAAAGAGCAGATTACAGGGCCGCACCGGGCCCTCCCGAATCAGAACCTCTGGGGCCGGGTGTGTGTGGATTCCAGTACCAGTATGTAACCGGGGACTTCCGGTCCCACCAAACTTCGAGGACCTCTGGGAGTCAGAGAGACGGGGGGCTCCCTTCTTTACTGACCCAGGCCGGGCAGCTCCCACTCGGCTCCGAGGCCCTCCCTGGGGTCACGGGTCAGTGGGAGTGAAGTTGGAAGTGTGCTGGAGAGGAGGGGACTCCCTGTAGAGGCAGCAGTAACCGGGTGAGGGCCAGAAGCTTAGGCCCGCCTCCTACCCGGGCACGAGCGGGGGCTTGGACTCGTCACCGGTGCCCCAAGGCTCTGACGGAGGCCCGCGCGGTCCGCCGTGGGCACGGCTCGAGGCCGCAGAGCCTGCAGCCCTGCGGCTGCCCAGCTGTCAAGGCAGATACTGACCAGGCAGCGTTGCAGGAAAGGGGCGCCCTAGGAGATGGCCGGAAACGAAGACGAGAACTTGTGCCGACCTGACCAGGAGGCGTGTCTGCCTACACCGGGCCCTGCCCTTGGCCTGAGAGCAAGGGGCGTCCACACACAGGAGAACATCTGCTAACTGCAGTTCACGTGCGCGCGGCTCCTGACGCAGGCCCCGGCCGGGGGTCCAGGCCCAGTGGTGCTCTGGGGAGCCGGCAGGGCGGGGCTCTGCGGGGCAGGGGTGTCTGCCCGCAGCTGCTGGCTCAGGCGTTTCCGGCAGGAGCCCTTCCTCCTCCCTAATCTTGTTGCCTGTCAGCCGCACCCCAGGCCACTGGAGTGCCGCGTGGTTCCCCTCTGCCCGCCTGGAGGCTTGCCCTCCCGGCTCCTGGACCCCGTTTCCCCTGCACCGCGCTGCTGAGTGTCTGCTGGGGCCGAAGGAGGGTGTTTCTGGGGGCGCTGGGTTGGTTGGGTGGGTCAGCAGGATGGCAGGCGCCGCGTCTGTCTGTCTGTCCCTGGTTGCTCACTCTCCTGCCCCCTTTGCCGCGTGGAGGCATCTTCTCAGAGCCTCACGTGTCCAGTCTGGGAGGGAGGTGTTGGGGACCTCTTAGCAAGACTGTGTCTTGGGTGAGAAGGTGGCCTCTACCGAGCTCCTTGCAGGTGACTGAACTATAGGAGGCTGGCAGGGGATTTTGAGCGTTCTTTTATTTTTTCACTTTTTCTTTTTTTAAATTGAGCTGCAGTTCGCATACAATAAAATTCACCTGTGATTTTTTTTTAAACATTATCTACTTTTTTTTTTCTTTTGGCTGCGTTGGGTCTTCGTTGCTGCGCGTGGCCTTTCTCTAGTTGCAGCGAGCGGGGGCTACTCTTTGCTGCGGTGCATGGGCTTCTCATTGCGGTGGCTTCTCTTGTTGCGGAGCACAGGCTCTAGGCGCACAGGCTTCAGTAATTGTGGCTCTCGGGCTCTAGAGCGCAGGCTCAGTAGTTGTGGCGCACGGGCTTAGTTGCTCCACGGCATGTGGGATCTTCCCAGACCAGGGCTCGACCCCGTGTACCCTGCAGGTCCTTAACCACTGAGCCACCAGGGAAGTCCCTGTAATGTTGTTTTGAAATAAAGCTGAGAAAGAAGGTTTCAGCTCTGGGTCCCGCCACTCCCCGCCTTGGGTCCTCCCTTCTTCCACACCAGGGCTGTCTTTCTCTTCCAGATCATTCCCATTGGAGTGGGTTGAATGGTGTCCACACTCTAATCCCCAGAACCTGTGAATTTGGCCTTAGGTGGGAAAAGAATGAACATCACCTTATGTCGATCTTCAGAGGAGGAGCTTACCTGGGATGACCTGGTGGCCCCTAAGTGAAACCCCATTCCTATAAAGTAAACACGCAGAGAGAAGGGGGAAGGCGTTTGCAGATGGAGGCAAAGACTGGGATGCTGGGCGGCCACCAGAGCCCCGCCTCCCCTAGAGCCCGTGAGGAGCCTGGCCCTGCCGCGCTTGATTCCGGGCTCCTGGCCTCCAGGGAGTGGAGGGAGTGAGTGGTGTCAGCCTCCGCTCAAGTTCGCCGCGCTTTGTTACCGTGGCCCCAGGGAACCCCCATCACTATCCGAACGTGCGAAACGGACCCTCCGTCGCCGCTCGCCCCACCCACATGCCGGCCGTTCCTTGGTTTCCTTGACAGGAAGCTTCTCTGACATGCCGTCCAGTCTCACGGCCTCCACTTCCGTTGTCACCGTGTCCCCCCCATCAGGCCACCCCTGCAGGGCCCCCTCTTGGTGGAATCCGAGAGTTCCTCCTGGGCCTCGTTGCCTGTGCCCTCTGGCAGCTCTGGACCAGCTCCTGCGGGGATCACACCCCCCCCCCACCCGCTGCTCCCCTCCGGCCCATCTCCAATCTGGAGGGCGCCTGGGGTCCCGTCCCCTCGCTGCGGGTAGAGTCCAACCAGCTGGATGTTCGTGCAGGAGCCCCTGGGGCAGGGGGAGGTGGAGACGGAGCCCCGAGCACCTGGGGGGTCGGGGGAGGGGGATGGGGTCCCCCGCGACCTTAGGCTGCCCTGGACCATGGTGACCATGGTGACCAGGAGCCCCTCTGCGGGGGAGGCTGCGGCCCTCGGGCTCTGATGCTGGGGCAGCAGCCTCGCAGGGACACAGTGCCTGGCTCTGCGGCTCAGTAGCGTTTGCACAGGATTCTGGAAAGCACAGGTGGCCTTTGATCACGTGCAGAAAAAGTATGTGTCAAGGGGCAGAGTTAACTGCGTTTGCACAGGCAGACGAGCTGTGACCGCGGGCACAGCTGCCCTGTGGTACCCTGTCTCCACCTCACGCTTGCCTGCCAGCCGGGGTCACAACACCAGGGCAGGGACACGCGGGCAGACAGGTGTGCTCCGGACACTGGAAC